TTTTTTTGGACTTTAACCTGTGCCTAAGTTTCCTTCACTGCTCGGTCCATCACAAGTAAGCTTTATTACCAAATAGGACTAATCATTGCAGCCAACTCACTGATGGTTAAACAAAAACTGTAGTAACCAATATAACCACCTTCTCACTGGCAGCATAACTTGAGAGAGCAAATTTAATCCTGCTGTACAGAAACAGCTACAAGTGCTCCATCTTTCACCTCTACCTGGGCCCTTTTAGCACCTGGGATAGAGGTGGTGCAGAAAGTCTCAGTGGTCTGACCGCATATGCAAAGCACCGTACCTGTCAGCGGCTGTGGTGAGGTTACAAGCTGAATGAATGAAGCTTTCACAGTTCTGTAACCCTGCCTAAGTCATGCTCCTGTTTTCTTACACAGCTTCACAGCGAGTATATCCACTGATTAAAATCTGCTTGCACTAAAGTAGATTCCCCAGACTCTTCGTGATGTGCTTACCACATCTGCTTTTGATTTTCAGTCTAATTTAAGCTAAATGATGCGAATGGCTTTATTTTTGAACACGATAACAACCAGAGTGAGTGGCTGTCGGTGAATCTGTGTGGGGAGTGGTCTTTTAGTCAGAGACTGCAGAAATGCTTCTCAACCAACTGTGCCTGATGCTTTTGGATGTTCAACATAGTTTCCAAGTCAAACTGTTGTTGTTATTGTTCATAATGCTCAGATTCTTCCATCTTATGTAGAAGAATTAAATGACTAAAAATAACAGTTCCTGACTTGATTCCAGCTTCTGAGCACGAGTTAAAAATCAGTCTGTTCTGGAATAATCTTCATACAAAAACAGGACTGACTGTGATATTTTAAGTCTGCACAGTACACACTATGGACTGAAGGCTGTTTCATAACACGTGTAAGTGTGCAAAGACCTTGAAACACTCCCTCGGCTTGTCCATCAACCACATGTATGTGAGGCATTCAATGACATTAATTACTATACATTTAAATTAGGGATCCACAAATGTAGCTTTTTCCAGCATTAATAGGCTACAGATGTCTGCTAGGCTTTAAGTATTGCTTTCGAAAATAAAATGTAATCTATGTAATGTAATAAAATGAATCTAGTAATTATTAGTAAAATAA